TCAGCTCAAGTGTGAATGGGGCCTAAAGTGAATCTTGGATTTTGACCGTGCTCCTCCTCCTATGGTTAACTATTTTAAGCTTTACATTTCTTTGTATCTGTTTTATAGTATTTCTAAATCTATTTTTGTTTTACAAGAAAACAGATACAGGCTGCACCCCACGACACTGGTGTCACAGAGCAAAAACAAACAGTTTGGACTTTGGACCTGCTGGCACAATATAAAGATTTAAAATGGAAAAATACAGATTTAACTAACTCTCCTACCCTGAGGAACTGAGGTTGCCGTGCCAATCGGAATTGTTACAATCTATCGGATTCCAATCCGTGATCTTGTATTAAATACCAAAGAATGCCCTGATTCCCTATCTCTCAATATCAAAGTCCTGTAACATTTTGCTGTGGTGTGTATACACTGCAGAGAAAAAGGTTTTAGTGGACACCTAAACTTCACACCTGTAGGAGCCCTGATGTGATGCCCATCCCAAAATGGCCAGTAATATGGAATTGCTCCCCCTTTTGTAGCTATACCAGCCCCAACTCTTCCGAGAAGGCTTTTCACAAGATTTTGGAGGGTGTCTGTGGGAATTTGTGCCCATTCAGCCAAAGGAACATATGCGAGGTCAGGTACTGGTGTTGGATGAGAAGACCCGGCACACAATTGGCATTCCAAAGGTGTTCAGAAGGGTTGAGGTCAGGGCTTTGTGAAGAGCACTGGAGTTCCTCCACCTCGAACTCATCAAACCATGTCTTTATGACGATGGCTTTGTTCACAGAGTCAATCATTCTGGAACAGAAAAGGACCTTTTCCACGTTGTTACCACAAACTTGGATGTTTACAAGCCCATTTTCATTTGTGCATTCACTTCAATGTGCTAAGTGAGGGTATGTCCCCAAGCTGTTACCACAAAGGTGGATGTTTAAGGGCCCATTTAAATTTGTGCATTCACCTCAATGGGCTAAGTGAAGGTATGTCCCCAAGTTGTTACCACAAAGGTGGATGTTTACGGCTCCATTTACATTTGTGCATTCACCTCAATGGGCTAAGTGAGGGAATGTCACCAGCACAGCAGTAATTCTCCATCCAATAGATGGTCTTCAGTATTAAAAAATCCCCTGAAGTTATTTGGCGGTTGGGTCCAAATATGTTTGCCCATATAGTGTACGTTTGCACTATGTTTGTTTAATTCAGCAGTAAATGATTTGGGGCCACAAAACCATCCCTGCACAGGGCCCTCTGCTGACTGGGTCCCCCTCTGAATACAGCAGGCCAGTAGAGTGCAACGTGTGCCAGTAACTGGTGTGACCAAATTGCATCCCATTATCTGCTCCCCTATAACTAGAAAATGAGGTCACAGATTTGATCACAATTTGCTGCTTGTCCACAAAAGCTGAAGCTCTAACAAACAATTTTAAAACAGTTGCTTAAATGTAATAACAAAAAGAAATTGATAGTGTGACAGCTTTCCAGGCTAGCAAGGCCAAGTGGGGAAAATAAATGCTTGTCCTTGTAGATAAATACATTTGTCCTTGTAGAAAAATAGTTGAATCAATAAAAACCGCAGTATACATTCCATGTCTGGCTTACTCAGCACATTGGCCAGCTTTTGTCTGATGTGGAATCCGCAGTGTGCGTCTCATATGCTCTCTATGCTGTTGAACTTAGAAAAATACTAGCTGTAAAATGGTCCTGATTTATTACAGTGTCTTAAAGAGAACCGGTACTCCAAAATGAAACCTTTAAATGTAAGCATCCTGTCTGAGACACTTGTAACCTTTATTAGCCAGAAAAGCCTTTTCTGTGTCCCTCTCTGATCAAAGTTTCACTTTATTGCCAGGGCTAAGTTACTTTTCCTTACTTCATTGCTAGCCAGTCAACTGTCTTTCCATTATCCAATGAGAAAGACTTATTGGCTCGTAAAGGCACTCTCATTGGCCAGAAAAGAGAATGAGGGACACCTTTTAGCACAAGGTATGTGGCAAATGACAAATCCAGGTTCATTGTATGGGTGGGACTGTAGGGAATCAATACCCACCTTCCCCAAACGACACATCCCTTGCCATGCCCCCATTTAGCTAAATCATTAAGATTTAATGCACAAAAATGATTGGGTAAAACCACATTTGCATTTTTTCACCACCACTGTTCCTTTATAAAGCCCATACAAAATAAAAGATTTCATTATTTAAGGTTGGGTGAAAGGTTGAGTGCAGTAAAACATTTTTGGTAGTTGCAAAGTGTGTTTTGTTACTGAGGTCTATCTACAGGCCAAAAAGAGGAACAACTGCGGAGGAAAAAGGGATTTGGCTGCAAAAGAGGGACAGCCCCTTCCAATGAGGGACTGGTGGGAGCTATGCAATCCCATTATCCTCATGCAAAACACAAAACTGACAATGGCGCAAAGTAAAATCTACCGAAATATAAGGAGTAGAAGGAAGAAGCAGTGAATGCCAGGTTTTCTGGACTGTCCAATTTATGTCCAAAGCACCTTGGAGGGTTGGTTGGAATCATTTGAAAGAACCATAAACATTGGTGCCTTGAGCCAGCCATTGATAGACTTTTATCTCAGGTCTGTGGTTACCCTTAGGTCACATTTATACAGGTGCTGATGAAGACCCAAAACCTAGACCTGATGAAAGAGGAGGATGTACAAGCATCGGGAAGGTGGGTATTGGTTGCCTATAATCCCACCCATACAATTAACCTGTACTTGTTAATTTCAAGATCGAGCTACAAGCAGCTATTTCTCAAGCTCCCCTGCTGCCTCATTACCTAAGCAATACCTGGTAACCCTGCCTCCCCGCAATGTAGGGCTTGGTGCCCAAGTGTAACATTGCCATGCCCAAGTGCTGTCATCTGAGGGCATAAGGAGTGTGGATAGCCCTGTGTAAGTTCAGTTTGCTCAGCATAGAAGTCTTGGTGGGTCAAAGCGGATCAAGGAGGCAGGGGGGCATTGAGAAGAGCCTGCTTATGCCCCCCCCCGCCTCATTTCATGAACAATACCTGGTAACCCTGGCACCCTGGTGCCCAAGTGTAACATTGCCATGCCCAAGTACTGTCATCTGAGGGTATGAGGAGTGTAGCTAGCCCTGTGTAAGTTCAGTTTGCTCCGCATATAAATCTTGGTGGGTCACAGTGGACCAAGGAGGCAGGGGGGCATTGAGAAGAGCCTGCTTATGCCCCCCCCCCCCCCCCCCCCCCCAGCTGCCTCATTACCTAAGCAATACCTGGTAACCCTGCCTCCCTGTGTCCTGGTGCCCAAGTGTAACATTGACATGCCCAAGTACAGTCATCTGAGGGTATGAGGAGTGTTACTTTCCTTGTACAGGCAAAGTGCAGGTCTACTATCAGGGTGAAGCCTAGGCTCGTGGAGTTGATCAGCACTGCCTGTTTGGACTGTAATTTGACATGGAGACTGCAAGAATACTGTGTCTGATAAGATGTAGACACTCACACATTAAATAGAACTATGCAATGTAACCATGATCTGTTCATGTAGTCTACAAATTACATCACATTACAATTTCAAAGACATTCATTGCTATTTACCACAGTATTCTTTTTTTTACTGTGGCTCACATACTACAAGGCATTTACTGTGACAGCCATCTTTGACAGTTATTATTATGCCAGGATTCAAACGATGCGGACTTAGGAGAATGGGGGCCCAGAACAGTTATAACAAAAATAACCAAAGGCATGAACATTCAGACATAACTCAAACAGAAAGACTTCTATCCATGGCAAGAGCAAACAAGTAAGCAGGCTTGAGGCTTGCCTTAAAGTCCACTAATGAGGTCAGGTGATCAGAGCAGAGATCTGAGCTGCAATGCTAAGTAACGACCAGCAGATGGCAAAGGTTCTGGGCTAATCGTTACACTGTGGCTATTAGGCGATGTGGTTAGGATTAGGGATGCACCGATACCAGTTCAGATACTTGGCATTTTCATGAGAACTACCAGGGTTGCAGCGGTTGCAGCTGGGAACGGGCTCTGGCGCTCCACCACTGTCCTGAAATCATTAGGCTGTATTGTTTTAGAAAAACTGTCACATGGTAATAAACACAAATGTATCAGTACTTGTACTTGTAAGTAATTGGGCAAGTATCAGTACTTGTTAAAATGGTAATGGTGCATCCCTTTATTTATATTTATAAAAACAAATTCATATATTAAAACAGAGATGTACAAATCCAAGGAGCTCCGTGTGCTCCTTACACATGACAGCTGCCTCCTAACTTTTGAGTTTTTCTCTAGTCTAGTCTTGGAGCTGGAAAAGTATCTGTACTTGTACCGAGTACGGTACTTGGTATTGGTGCATCCCTAGTTAGGAGATATGAAAAAATTTCTTAATGAGTTGAACAACATATAACAACCCATAATAACACAGACTATAGTTTAAAGAAATAAATGTAAAGTTTGGTATGAAAGATTTTAATGATAGTTGCCCTTAAGAAATAGAACACAAGATCACATGGGTTGGTCAAAAAAATTACATCACAATTTCACATCTTTACACGGGAGGCCATGGAATTTTACATTTAGCATGGTTGCTGGCAAGTGGAATTAGATGCTGGCTTCTAATATCTCTCAGGAACTTCCATAGTGAAATATTCCAGCCACAATTCCCAGTTACACCTTACTTCCAGAGCCATTACAAATCACACTCGATGGATTCTCTACACCGGAGAACAAACATCCTTTTGCAGCAGATCCAGTCGCAAAAGAGTGTCGGCATTCTTACACCCTTGTGAGAAGAAGGGGAAACAGGAGCTGCTGCAGAGAAATCTCACCATGAAAGTCTCTGATGAACAGAGTCTAGCAGGTGATTCAAAACATTGATTTCCCCTCAAAATCTCAAAGATCAGTCTTCTGTGAAGCCGATCCTTAATACAGTCATTGCAGATTTCACAGGTGTCAATCCATTCTCAAAAAAATCGAGGTCCTTGTTTAATATTTGTGGAGAAGGTCTAGTTCCAGGAATTAAAATGAGCCAATTCCAGAAGGCTTAAAGAGCTGTTGACTCCATCTTGTTCTTCTCAGCAGCCATCTCTTCATAAAGTCTTTGCTTGCAAATTTCAACGTTGTACTGAAGGCCCTGGCTCTTTTCTGAGCGTATTAGCTTTTTCATGAGGTATTTGGCAACTGCCTTGATCAGGCACGGCGGAGATAGGCAAGTAGTGTCCTGCAGTCTGCTGACCAGCCTGTAGAGGTCCTTAAAAAGGCGATACCTTGAAATCTTCCTCAGGGATTTAGGAATGTCTTTCTTTTCACAAAGGCCTTCAAAGTAGACTATGGCATACTCCTTCAGTTTTGCACTTTCCTGCTCTGCTAACAGATCTTTATTTAGGCAGGACATTGCGGCCCCAAACAGGTTGGCTGGGTCTTTCCACACAAAGCTGTTCAGCTGACTGTTCCTCCACTGCTGGTACATAGTCTGAGTCCGTGTGGTCCACAAAATCATCACTCTGCCTTTCCTTTGACTTACAAGCTCCCTCTTTTGATAAAACCAAGGTAACATCCCAATTTTGCTGATATTGTTCATATCCCACATGTCCAAGATGACCTCGCAGCCCAGGATGCTTTGCAGGAAGTCAGCAAAGGCACAGATGAGAGTCTTATACTCCAAGGAATCCGGTGAATAGACAAGCAGGATGGTTCTTCTCCAAAGTGGAGCTGTGCAAAGGATTAACACATATGTATTAGTATGATTAGAAGCTACACGGCCTCAGAGAAAAAGTTTGCCCCCAGCTAAAAGGTTTGCTGAAGTCAAAGGGCTAAATAAACATTTTAAAGACATGCAGGAAGCATATAAACTAGACCTGAACTGAAAGAGTAAAGGTGTGCTATCTCATAGGGAACATTCTGAAAATAGTAACTGTGCCTTAGCACTACCCTAAAAGATTTACCTTTAATCTTCAAAAATAAAAATGCACTTACTGTGCCTTGACACTTATCACTGTATATTTGAGGTCTTAGATCATACAAGGCACTGCTTCCTCTGACTTCTAGTCTCAGGAGATCTGCAGTAAGATTTGGTGATGTCACTACTGTGCTTCTCATTATTATCCTTGCTGGAAAGGAAGCTGTACTTGGGGAACAATGCAAGGATCTCCCTGCTTCTGCTTCATTCATTTAGTGCAGGGATGGCCAAACTCCGGCCCTCCAGCTGCGGTGAAACTACAAATCCCATGAGGCATCTCTCTCCGGGAGTCATGTCTGTGGCTGTGAGATTCTTGCAATGCCTCATGGAATTTGTAGTTCTACCACAGCTGGAGGGCCGGAGTTTGGCCATCCCTGATTTAGTGGATATGAGCTTCCTCCACCTCTCCCTCTGTTTCTTGAATATTTTCCCACCCGCATCAGATCACCAGCCATCAGGGGAAGCCCAGCATCTTTACCAAGACTGCAGCCTTCACGTAGAGACACAGTGTAGGGCAAGGCAGTAATATGAAAAGATCAGCTGCAGGGAGCCTACAGACAATTCCGGTGAATTGTCCATTGTCCTCTGCTTGTCCTTTTTTGGGCACAGCTTCCACAGTACAGGACAGAGAAGCTCATGTTCTACCCTACTTTGATATGAAGTGCACAGAATATGCCAATCAAAGATATCTGTGATGGCCTGGGGCACACATACAGTATGTTTTAGAAACCTGTGTTGTAAGGTGAATAAGTATATCCAAGCCCACTCCAAGCAGCTTTATGACCCTACGAAGGGGTGCTTGGTGACAGTAGTGTAGATGGCGCCACTTTAAAAATAGGATTCCGAGCCTCGCAGGACTCCTTCATTAGGAAATCAGTGACACTGTTGCCCCTTGAAGAAGTCCTGCAAGGCTCCAAAACATGTTTTTTTTTTTTTTAGATGTGAGCATTAAAGTTGGTATTTGTGAGCTACTGGACATGTTTGTAAACATATTATTAATATTCGTGTGGTACGGTGGAGACGGTTCCTTTCCTCCAGTCTTTCGGGTAACCTAATACACTTACTATTTTCTTAATGGGCAGTCTACAGGAAGCAGGCAAAAAAAAAAAGAACTGCTATAAAACAGTGAAAGGCGTTCACAAAGTACACATTGTTAATAAATGCCTTCAACCCGTCAGTCCGGTGCAAGCCCACCTTTAAAAAGCAGTAATAAAAACCATATAAGCCAGGTAATGTGAGCAATAAACTCCCTGCAAGGTAATTTAAGGGTTTGTATCGTTTAACTGCTCCACATTCCTTGCATGCCAGGAATGCGGCAAGTTATGGACTGTTCTCTAACCTGTGAATATCTTCCATATCCTGCGGACGATCAGGAAGAAGAGGAACGTCAGAATGAAGGTCACCAGCATCGTGACAAGCATGATCAGGCCAAGGTGCTTGTGAGAATCTGCCGAGAGAAAAAGAAGACATGATTAAACAAGAACTCTTCCAAGCACCTGAACACCAATGTTATTTCAGGAACTCAGCAGCCCTGCTGTGAAAAAAATTCAAAAGCAGTTTCTGAGCCATGTCAACAACTTGTCTAAAACACAGGTGGCAGGATCACTAAGAGCACTGCCGGATTTACTCTCTCTGCTGCCTCAAGGCCAGGTTCTTCAATACGCCCCCTCAACTACCTGCCCAGCCCTGCAAACTGCATGTCCCGGGTGTCGGCTGATAGGAATTCCACACCCCTGCTGCCCCTCGACTTACTGCTGCCCCGAGGCCGGGCCTTGGTGGCCTTGTGGGAAATCCAGCCCTGACTAAGAGGCTGCCCGTTTATCCTTATGGAATTGCTCCCTCTGTAGCGGAGGCAGCGAGATGTTTCAGGAGCCTTGGGGCCAGCAATAGAGCGACATCTTGCTATATCTGGCTGCAGAGGGTGTGATTCCATGGGGACAAGCAGGCAACCTCTGAACCGATCCTGAGATTTGTATCTAGCGGTAGAATTATCCACCTGCCATCAGTCAGCCCACTCTGCTAAATAAATAGATTTAGAACCATCTCCCATAATGGTGTTCAATAACCCCCTCTGTAAGTTGTGATTAATACAAATAAAGTTTGACCCATTTTGTATGAACAGCTAAAAGTCTGGCGAATGGTTCCTATGTGAAGTGACCATTTTATCACTGTTCCCCATGCAGTGCTGAGTCAGTAATCACATTTCTGCTCTGGCTGTATGTGCCCAGCAGACAGCAGATTCCTGGAGCACTGGGACTGGGGATGGGCAAGTATTGTATATGTATTTGAGACAGTTAGCTAAAATCCTTTCCTTTATGACCATATAAGGTTAAGTCCCACCCCCTTGGGGTCTTAAAAAGAACAGTTGTGGGTAATAGAAGTTCTTTATCTGCAACAGGAGGATCAGTGGTCATACTCACAATCGAACGAACAAATGAGATACTCATGAGCAAAACGGACATCAGATCGCCAGACCTGCGTGGAAAAACAAGCAAAGCAACATATTATTCACAATCACTGAAAAATTATCAGGTAACATCTGATTCCAATATCAGAGTTGTATGTTTTTTCACCCTGAGAATCGTTAGATTCTTAATGAGTATAGAGAAAAAATGCAACTCAAATGCAGGCCATTTTCCCCATAAAGTATCTAAAAGCATGTTGTATTTACTTGCTTATGGTGACCCTGTACTAGAAAAAAGAACTATTACTGTATATATTATCACTGGATCAGGGTTTTGTGTTAGTCAGTCTAGATCTGCACCTTTAAGCACTGTTGCTGTCAGCCTGGTGTACAATGGGTGATAGGGAATAACAATTAAAAAGCTTTTAGGCAATTGTACATAGTAAAGTAATATTAACAATGTTTGGCTTGATAGATATACTTTAGGCAGTATTGTTTTTATATTTGCTCTTTATCTACAAAGATTAGGCGAACAAAGGTAGATAAAGACAGTTCCTACCTTAATACATGTGCCAAGACCAGGCCAAGGGAGGGAGAGCTGCATCTCTTTAGAAGGCTTCCAATGGGGCTGAAAGATAACATTTATAATCTCTAAATGAAAAAGGTTTCTTAAAGGAGAACTAGGCACAGTTAGGTTGGATAAGAATCAGTCTATTCAGTCTTAACAGTGGGAAACCAGACTTGTGACCAGAAGAAGATTCTTCAGCAAGCTCTAGCTCTTCGAAAGAGCAAAGAAAGGCGGCATGGGCAGCACGATAGGTAAGTATACCTTTCATTGCAGGCAGGACAAACTTACACGTTTTTATTCTAGCGACAGAGCTGATGTAAAGGATAAATATACACTTAGTAATTAGAGATCTTCTCTGGGCACCATGCAGTCTCTTTTCCAAAAGTCTTCCCTTCATTCGTGAAAACAATCTCCATTCAATCCAATAGAAAGCCATCCACTGTTATATGGTCATCCACCATTCCTATGGTCTTTTCATAGGAATGAATGGAGATTCTTCAACATATGCATGACTGTTGGTGAAGAGCCTGGGTGGTGCCAAGCAGACGCAAAGAGGTCACAGGCAAAAGAAAAAAAATACTCTTCCCCATTCTATGATAGACTAAAAAAAATTGGCTGGAGTTAGGCCTTAAGCAGAGTGGGGATGGGTTAGAACTTCTATCAGGATTTTAATATTGCCTATGGTCCATTTGTGGAGATTCCACCCACTTCTGGTGGTCAACATGACAGGAAATGAGCACTTGGACAGCATTAAAACCTGATAAGGGTGGTAATCCTTCATCAGAAAAATGCTTTGGTTGGAGTTACATCTGAAAACCTTAGGGTGCTTCCAATTAACTGCAATAGTTTGAGGCAAAGACAGACACCACTTCCTTTAATTTTATTTTCCAAGCACCAAAAGCAGCTGTCAGTTATATGACCCATAATTTGTTATTTATATGTTATGAGAGGGACTATACCTTTAAGAAAGTGGGAGGTGGTTAGAGATCTGCTCATTAGTGCTCATCGGAGTTCATTATTGTGTTTATACCTATTTCCCTCTCCCCCATGCCCTCTTGGTGTACAGTTAAGTTCCATCAGGGGGCGAAACATGTTAGAGAGAGACTGCTGGGTGGAGTGTCTTACAGTTTTGGTGTTCCGAAAATAAAGTCGATGTGTAGAAGAGAAATGGACCTTGGAGCAGAGCGCACCCACGAGCAGTGGAAGAGGTTAGACGTTGACTGTTGAGCAGCTTCCAATGATTGTGAGTATTGCTTCCAAATAAAGTAAATTTATCAAACTTAAGTAGACCTCTTTGCTCACCGTTGAAATATTATAGACTGCCGACTGGATGGTGCAGGCGCCCGTACTCTGGTTTTGGTAGCAGATCGCCATACTGAATGAGGCTGGAACCTCAGAAGAGACTTTTAGAAGAACATCAAAGAGATTCAACTTCACATCAACGTTCCAGACCCGATCTGCAGATACAGAGGACAACACGTGATTTTTGTTTTAATTGCAGTTTAGCTATCGCACACGGAACCACAACAATTGCAATATTTCCTCATTTAAAGGCAGAATGTATTTTTTAAAACGTTCCAGCCTTCTGAGTACAAAGAGCCTATTATTATTATTGCATTGCGAATAGAGACAAGAGGCAGGGAGACAAGAGCCAGATATTAGCATTCAAAAAACAAAAGCCTGTTTTGAGTGCTAGACAAGTAGTGTCAGATAATAAAAAAGAGAGAATGATTTAATCAGGTCACACGCGGGGCCAAAAAAGTATCACATACAGAATAAACTGTAGTGCATTGATTAAAGCCCCTTTACCAAAGATAAATTAAAATGTTCTTGGTCAGATCGGTGACTTTGGAACTGTATGGTTCAAAAATAATTCAGGCCCCTGTCTCCTGACATCAGTACATGTGGACAGCGCTGGACTGCTTCTCCAATGCTCTCAGTATACATACGCTGTTTCCCCGAAAATAAGACCTACCCCGAAAATAAGACCTAGTACTATTTTTGGGAATTGCTAAAATATAAGACCTACCCCGAAAATAAGACCTAGTTGTGACCATTCCCAAGGCCAGTGGTGGCATAAGGGGGGAACTTGAAGAGCCGCAGGAGAGAATCAGCGGTACTAACGAAGCCAGCGCTAGAGGAAGCGAGGCGGCATCGGAGGGAGCAGAGCCGCATTGGCTGATGCTTCCTCTATAGCGCCGCCTCCTGTCACAGGCGGAGTGATACCAAACGCACTCCGCCTGTGAGGAATCCATAGTGAAAGCGCACTTCGCTCATTCTGGCCAGCGATTGGTTACCAAATTGCTCTTGGAAAGGTTGCCCTGATCACCATATTTTTTGTACATGAATACATGTAGACTGCTGTACATGAAAGTGTGGATTGTTGTACAGTAAAAAAAATTAAATAAGACCTACCCGTAAATAAGACCTAGTGTGTTTTTTTGAGCCCCAAAAAATATAAGACAGTGTCTTATTTTCGGGGAAACACGGTAGATGGCAGAAGGCAGCAAAAACAAGACATACACTTGTGTTAATTTTAATACAGAAAAAAAGTGCTTTACAGGGTAAGGAGAAATGTGAAATTTTTAACAGTTTCCCTTCCTACCAGGTCTGACCTAACCCAAGCACCCCCCCACCCCAAAGGTCCATGTACAGTCCTTATACCCTGTCTAGCCGCATCCAGCTCTGATGTTTACCTCCGGCCAGCCTATCCTCTTCTTCTCAGTGCCTGTCTATGTGAAGTAGAACCAATAGACATCTATGGGGATTCTTCCCATTGTTCAGGAGAGGCAGAGTTACTGGAAAAATGAGGACTGGCAATAATATGGGGGTGCCCCGTTCCCCTCTTCTTTGGAGCTTAACAGCCTCCACTTATCTTAGAAGGCCTTCTACAAGTGCATTCAGTCAAAAGAGCTTTGGTGGGGTCAGGTACTGATGTTGGATGAGAAGACCTGGCTCACAATCAACATTTCAATTCATCTCAATGAACCTCGTCTAGAGTTAGGGTCAGGACTCTCTCCAGGCCACTTGAGTTCCTCCCCACCAAACTCATCAACCTATGTCTATATGGAGCTGGCTTTGTACACAGGGGCACAGTCATGCTGGAACAGAGCCACAAGGTTGGAAGTGCCCAATGGTCTAAACTGCCTTTGTATACTGTAGCCTGAACATAACCCCTCACTGGAAACTCTGGGGCGCAATACTTTGAATGAGTCTCTACAAATTTTTGCCCATAAAGTATATTTTTTAGTACATACCAATAAATGAACTTACCGCTGTTGTTAGGACACTTGAGATAAGTGTGATTCATTAATGTGAACTAAAAGAAAAAACACACACATGTTAATACAAAAACACACTGAGAGGAATTTATCAAAGCAATTGCGACAGTTTTAGCCTCTTAGATAATTTTTTTTTTAATGTGCAAATCTGTCTTTTAACATGTGTGGCTGTTTTGACCTGAGCTTGCACTACTTTTTCAACTGCACGTGTTTTGCACTTGTTCTGCGGCTGTCTGAAACTGGAGCATCACTTAACAAAACAAATCAGTCATCCTCATAGTTCGAGCCGACGTGTGACAATGAATCTGTCACATGTTGGCTCAATAGATCGGTAGTGAGCGAACGCATACCGTCGCTCGCTCACTTCTCGATCATCTCCCTGCAGAGAGCAGTGACTGCCAGTCACCGATTCCTGCAGGGATCCCCCCCTCCCGACTCTGATCCTCCAGCGCTGAGTGGAGGAACGGATGGGCAGAGCCAGCTGTCAATCATGCAGCTGGGTGGATCTCGACAGTAATGTCGGGATCCGTCCCTCTTGCGCCAGACTCAGTATACCACAAGCTGAAGCTTGCTATATACTGAGCTTTGGGTCATGGGAGGAGGCTATTATATGTCCTCCCGTGACCCGTAAGAGAACTAGGGGGGAAAAACACTTACCCCATAGTTCTATTTAAGAAGTCCCCATGACCACCTCTTCAAGAAGCGACAGTTACGCTTTTTGCCTGGAGTTACGAGTCTTCTTTCCTGGAGTCTATTTAACCTCATTTATGAACATTACACTGGCATCATAAATCTGGAGCAAAGAGCGTCAAATATATTCTGTGCAAGTTCAAACACTCGCAATTGCCATGATAAATTCCTCCCACATGTAACACAACTGATGCAGGGAGGGCTCAGCTAGATGTGCTTGACTTGCCAACACGATGGTCATAATAGGTCAACGCTCTTCACTAGTCCACTAGCCACCATTAAGTGTACAGACATATTTCAGCAAGAGATGGGGCACTGCAAGCTTTATTTCTCACCAGGTAAGAAAGTAACAGAGCAGACTAAAGTGACTCGTCCCTTTGGGCGTTTTAAATGGATGAGGCCACGCTTTAAAATCAACCTTGCTCACCTTGAAAAAGCCACATGCAAAACTGCCACAGGCTATGGAAGCCTTCTCTTTCCTGCTCTGTTGTTTATTTCTTATGTGCTGATAGACAAAGATTACGTGCTTGAAGACAAGTGTCTAGTCTCCTGCATCTACAATTCTAATATAACTAAAAAGTACAATAATAATAAGTGCAAAGTAATTACACTCTCAACATTGAGATGGCTAATAACTGGAATGTCTCTCTATCGCCATCTTGTGTTCAAACAAAAAGTCTACGGGTGAACCGTCTCCAACTGGTAACAAGCACTAAAGAAGTAGAGTGGCTGGCACCAGGGCCGGATTCCCACAAGGACAACTGAGGAGTAGAGGGGCAGCAGGGGTGTGGAATTCCTATCTTCCGTCGACAGGGACATGCAGTTCCAGGCACCGGGCAGGTAGTTGTTTTCTACATTTAGCCCTGCTTTGGGCAAGCAGAGCTAAATGCACAGCGGGGAAGCCGCGCTTGTTTTGTACTAGGGATCTCGGCGATGTCGCACCCCCCGTGCATTGAGGTACCTGGTATTGGGGCAGCAGAAAGAGTAAATCTGGCTCTGGCTGGTACCGCTGACCTCTATTTCTGAAAATTCCCTAAGCCTGGCTGTCAGGGTGAATCAACAGTTTCAGCATTTTCTGGGACAAGCATGTAAATCAGGACCGCTAACGCCAATACGAAATTCCGAATCTGCATGCTTGTCCCAGGACAGTGGCTCAGGAAGTATTGAAGCTATTACATCATCGACAGACAGGTAACAAGCATTTTAAAGGTCAGCAGTGGTAGCTGCAGCAAAACAGGTTTCCTTTAATAACCTATATTTTATATGGCCTAGAGCAGGGGTGGGCAACTCCGGCCCTCCAGCTGTTGTGGAACTATAAGTCCCATGAGGCATGGCAAGACTCTGACAGTTACAGGCATGACTCCCAGAGGCAGCGGCATGGTGGAATGTGTAGTTAAAGCACTGCTGGAGAGCCGGAGTTGCCCACCCCTGGCATAGAGTGTAGGTCTCTAGGACACTATACCTGCCTTGTTTTCTTTTTGTAAAATCTTAAATTTGTTTAACTTTCTTTAAATCAAAAAGTGCTTTTTTATTAAAGATATAAAATTATACATAAAAGTAATATGTTCAGATTCTAGTATATCTTGTAAAACATCAACGGGCCTAGTGGCGTCACAAGGGGGGTGCAGGGGGTGCGGCCAGTACCTGGGTGTCACCATTGCAGGGGTTATTTGGGTGTCACTCCCTCTACATACAAAGTCAGGCACTCGGTCATGGACCGAGAGCCCGACAGTGTCAGGAGAGAGGAGGGGACCCGGCGGCATACCTCATCCCGCCGGGTGAACGTCCCCCCCTCCTCTTTCTGCCAGCGTCCATGAACAAGATGGCCACCGGCAGGCATCAATCAGATGGTCGCGCATGCACAATGACGTCATCGCGCATATGTGAGGTGACGTCACACGCGTGCGTGATGACGACACGGCGGGGTGTCACCCGGTCAAGAGACCAGGTGACACCCGGCCTTGGGGCGCCCCTTAACGGACCCTTTTTAATCTGGAAAAACATTCCTTGTAAAACAATATATATCAGCTATAACAATGTTACTGGGACAATAAATACACATTTAAAGAGACCTTGTCCCCAGACCAGTCATTTCTAACAACAATCTTCCCATAAGATTCTATGTGCATTGAATATATTTTAGTCATGTTATTTACCCTAAAAGCCTGCCTTGTGTAGACATCCAAAAGCCCTGAGACTGCTGCCAATCTTGGATGTGATGTCAGCTACCCCAGCAAAGTCAGAGCTGTCACTCAAATGACACTTTGTTAGGCCCTATTCACATGTAGCGACATACCTTTGCAGCGGCCGGGATAGCGCGACTTTCGGGGCGACGTTCCAGCGACGGTAGCGCGACCTTCTCCGTCGGGCTCCATAGAAAAAAGCAAAATCCGCCGAAAAAAGGGTCCTGTAGAAGCGACTTGCGACCGCGACGAGCGAGGCGCGACATGGAGCTAAGACAGCTCCATTGACTATCATTAGCCGGCGACTTCGCGCGAAATCGCGCGATAAGTCGCTACATGTGAATGGGGCCTTATGTTCCCTCTCACTCCTCCCCAGGCAGCTATATAAATGTTATGTAGGGAGGTAAAGCGAGGGACAGAGGAGCTGGATCATCACAGAGAGTAATTAGACAGTACCAGAAGAGGAGAGGGTTAAGATGTCTCAGGAGGTAAGGGGCTGTGCTAGGGAATTGACTCTTCCTGGAGTAGTCAAGTTTTCTAGCAAGATCATAATCACATTTCAAGTCAATAAAAATAATTTATGGAAATGCAAAATACTGCAAGAAAGCATTTAAAATACTTGATTTTTCTGCAATTGTTTTGTGACAGGGTCTCTTTAAGTCAGGTCTATTTCACCCAGACAAGTAAGCTCTTACCTTAAAACATAGGCTGGGGTCTCTGTCAATGTCGTAAACGTAATAGTTCTGGAATAAAATAATTCAACATGAAACAATTGCTTTCAGCACTTTGGGACAACGGACGTTCAATTTAAATGGAATAAAACACATTGGGGGGAATTTATCAAAACTGGAGCAGGTGAAATCTGGAGCAGATGTGCACGGCAACCAATCAGCTTCCATCTCTCCTTTTCAAATCTCAACTGAGCAAACTGAAGAGAGATGCTGATTGGTTGTCCTTCGTAACTGCTCCAGTTTTGTTTAATTCTCCCGATTGTTTCATATGGCAAAATACCTTGTTGTACTAATTCTAGATTTGTGTCCCAATGGTGTGCAGGGAGAACTCCCATCAGCACCCAAGATGTCAGTAAAAAAAAAAGTGTGTGTGTGGGGGGTGAGGTCAAGGTAATTCTTATTGATGGGAATAATAAGTAAAGCTGGGCAAACAAACTATTTTTCTCAGCGCATAATGATTGCTACCAGAGCCATAGCTAGCTCCTTTTGCACCCCCAGGCAAGAACAGAAAATTGTGCCCCCACCCAACAGATGTGTGATGTCACCCGACGCTGCGCGCGAACAGGAAGTGATGTAAAGTACTTCTTCTTCATTCATAACTGGGGACACATAGTACTATCTTTTAGATGGTAAGCCCTCAGGGGCAGGGCCCTCCTTACCATCTTGTCTTGAATTGTATTGTAATTGTAATGTCTTCCTTATATTGTAAAGCGCTGCGCAAACTGTCAGCGCTATATAAATCCTGTATAATAATAATGTGTCCCCAGTTATTTACAAACATTGGAGTGATCAGCTATCACTCCAGTGTTTGCTCTGCATAGAGGATTGGTAAATATCACTGATATTTACCGATCCTCCCGCTCCCCATCCTGAACGCTGAAGCGAGGGGGGGAGTGCTGTCACTTCAGGATGGCCGAGCGGTGAGGAGAGAGCCGCCGGTTGAAGCACTTCATTTCTCATTGGATCCCTGCTGCCTCTGCTTATCAGGCGGGGGGAGAGCAGTGGGGATCCGAGTAGAAGCTGTAGCCTGTGCCGTCCCTTTTCTCCCCGATGAGCCGCAGCTGTGTTGGACGCCTGGCTCCCCTGTTTCCATAGCGCCCTGTGCTCGCCATGGGAACAGGGGCTGAGGGGCACAGCCAGGCCTGTCCAGGCTGTGCCCCCTCTTAGCTGCACCTGAGGTGAGTGCCTCACTCGCCCCATGGTAGCTACAGCCCTGATTGCTACACATAAGGAACAATGCTCGCACAATGCTCCATAGACACACTTGGACTGTCAATCATTTACGCGCAATCCTACTGTCCAAATGCATGTCTACTACTGGCTGATCCAAAACATGCTGCTTGGCTTTCCTGAGTAGTTATGTTGATGTGTAAGTTGACAGGAGAGGTCCAAACGTCCCATATTAATGTTACCCACCCTGAACTTACCATATTATCTTCACCTTCAATTGTGGCTTCCGGGACCGTCACACAGCTTCCATTTTGCTTTCTGCAGAGTGAAACGCTGGGGCTTATCTTGCATGGGCTGTCATAGTGAACTGTCATGGTGTTGATGCGAAACGTTATCTCCTTTGCAGACACCCTCAGCAGATCTGGAACATCTGTTGAAAGATCAGTTTATTTAACATGGGAGGGAACATGAAATCACATACAGAGCATTAAAATGGTGAATATCCCTGTTAGTCACAAGCAAGGCACAAGGCATCACTTACAGGGCTCTGGGTGCTCTTTAAAGGGACACTCTTGATTTCGTCTACTATTTTCTCGGGCATAAAATACCTGTTAAAAAAAAAAAAATAGACACAATTAAAATAAAATTACAGAAAATCAAATGAGGAAATAGGTCTATACACACAAATAGATGGAGCTTCTCTAGCAGGATTACAGCGTGCACCATAAGCTTCGTGCCCCTGAAGAAGTCCTCTGTGATGTAACGTGTAGAGCAGCTTCAGCTCATATATGTTCACTAGTTTTGTAGGTGCAGTTTACCCCCTTTGTTTAGTAAATACTTTTTGTGATGGATTACACTATGTGCAACTGTGTTTCTTCTTTGTGAGATACTTGAAGAGGTTATAAGCCCTGGTTCACACCTAGGCATTTTTTAGCAGTTTGAAAAGCGCTTTTAACTGCCCAACACAAGCAATTCCATGATTTTCATTGGCCCTGGTTCACACCTGAGCAGAAAAACGCTAGATGCCTGAAAAGATGCAGGAGTTTCTTTGGCCAGTTAAAAGTGCTTTTTCTCCCCATAGACTTCATTGGAAATGCCCAAAAATGCGTAACAGAAGCATGTTGCACGTTTTTCGTGAGCGTTTTTGCGCGTTTAAAAGCGCGTTCTTCTATTGCCGACAATGGCTTATGAGCTATCCAATCAAAATGCGCGACTTCATTTACACATGTTAAAACGCGCACACAGGGGCGTCCCGAGGCTGGGTGTCACCCCGCCGAGACATCACTGCGCATGCGCGTGACTTCACCACGCGTGTGCGCGATGACGTCATCGCGCACACGCAGCAGTATTCTTGTACCTGCCGGCGGCCATCTTGGCGATGGACACCGGCAGAGAGAGGAGGGGACAGTCACCCGGTGGGATAAGGTATGCCGCCGGGTCCCCTCCTCTCTCCTGATACGGTCCCACTTTTCAGAGGGGGGTGACACCAGTGGCGGAACTACCAGGGTCGCAGAGGTCGCGGCCGCGACCGGGCCCTGGAGTTCGGCCACTTGGAGGGGGCCCAGGACAGGAGGAAGGGGCCACTGGTGACCGCTGATTACAGACACCAAAATGCCAAAATGACTGTGAGTCATTGAGTCATTTTGGAATCACCCCTCCAATGGTGTCACCCGGGTGCAGGCCGCACCCCCCTTGTGACGCCACTGCGTGCACACAAATGTGCACAACGCGCATAAACGGTGCCGGTTAGGTGTGAACCAGGGCTCAAAGAGTGGAGCAACAATAACTCTCAGCAGGGGCGTCGCTAGCCTGTTCCAGGTCTGAGGTGGTGGGGGGTGAGGGTCGCTGGTGGCACATGCTAATGACAAGTGGAAGGCATGACGCCAGCCAGGGCGTCCCGCTTGGCTCCTGGCAACCGGTGACATCACTGGCCAGAGTGTCCTAGGTTGCTGGATAGATGTGTATGACCCTTACACATCTACCCGCCTGACTCTTAGCAACCTGGGACGCTCTGGTGGGAAAGGGGGCAGCAGGCACATTGCAAACATTGAGCAACAGATTGGACAAAGAGATGCCACCTGAGGCAACAGGCTCAGGCTGCCTCATTATAAGGACGAAATAGAAAAAATGGTACATGCATGAATCTATAGCCAGCCTTTATAGCAGGGCGCACATTGGGAAGGCTTACAACAATACAAAACACAGAAATTCCCCAGCCTCAACCTGCCAGCCAGCCTGCAACCAAACAAGTAGCCCTGTCAAAATAAGGGACCCTGACGCTAAGAACTTATTCCTTCATAGGAAGACGAGCATGCTTGCCTTTTGAACAATATTTTACTTAAAGGATAAGTTCGCCTTTTTGCACAAAAAAAAAGGTGAACTTACAACACCCACCTGATGCACTCAGCTGTTGTAATCACCATCTCCCAACACCCGTGCTAGTTGGTGTATAGGTCCAGGCACTTTAAAGGTGCCCATACACTGTACGATTCTCGTACGAGAATCGCGGGAAATCCAGCGATCGTACGAGAATCGTGCAGTGTATGGAAGGCGTGCGACCGTTTCTACTGTACGGTCGCACGTCTTCCATCGAACAAGCAGGCTGGAAAACCCGCCGGGAATCGTACGATTCTTGGCGAGTGAGTGGCCTGCTGGTTCGACAACTGACGAACGGGCCAGTGTGCGCACGCTCACAATGCCCGTTTGCCGTCCTTGCAAGCCCGCCCCTCAGTGCAGTCATCGCAAGCCCGCCCCTCAAGTACGATCTGCCTGTCCAAGATGGGCAGATCGTACGTTTTTTTAAGTACTTTACAACCATCGCAAGAATGGCCACCTTAAATCATCACTGCATAGCCCTGGAGGCTGTGCAGCAACATAATGTTTGCAATGGCGAGTGGTCAGAGGTCAATGCGGCATGTAACCACACTGAGAATCACTACTGAGCCTTCTTTCTTCGAGAAGAATCATCATCAGCCAGCGTGGTCACGTCATGGTGATTATGGCAGCTAAGCGCAGCAGGGGCCCAGGGGGTAGGGGGTGGGAAAGGTGTTGCCAGTTAGTTTACATTTTGATTTTTGGGGGAAAAGGTGAACTTATCCTTTGACTGAAATATTTTAGAAAGGTCAGCCTTGTCCCCCTATAAAAGGTTAGTTATCGCTACATATTACGCTCTTATATTTCTTCCTGTATTCCCCAAAAACTGAAAAAATTGAACTTATCCTTCAACTAAAATAATTTAGGAAGGTCAACCTTGACCCCCCTATAAGGGTTTAGTAATCCTCATAGTTATCATTGCACCATGATCTTATAACTCAATATCTCCCAAAAAATGAAAAAGGTGAGTTCAAGTTCATCTGAGTGTGGGGTGTCACCTAGAGCATGTGCACAAAATGTTCATATTGTCTGGACACTTTTTGACCACGTTTTATGGACTTTATTTACAGTTTTAGTGGAAGAAGATACACAAAGGTGAATGTTTGAGCTGAAATATTCACCAAGAGACAGTTTGCAGTTTATTTTCTTTATAATTCACATTTGTTATTTACAATATGTTTATAAATCACTGCTGAGCTTACTATATGTATAATTTGGGTTGGCTATCTATTAATTTGGGGTGTTGGCAGCTTAGCTTTTATAGGGTTAACTAAGAGCGCAGAAGTTTGCTTTTGAGGTTAACAAGGCTATTCTAGGAGGTTAGGTGAGTTGTAAGGACGCCCTTCGTCACTTCACTACCAGCTGGCAGTCCACGGTGAACACTATGAGAAGCGGATTGCTGGGTCTGTTTTGCCAGATTGCCGGCACAAGAAGTGCGCAATCAACAGAGGCAATAATCTTTGTGATATAATACGTAGACTGATTGTACAATAACCCAAAACAGCAATAAGCAAGTGTATTCTGCAGGAACTGTGCTCACCTCAATACATAAACAGGGAAGTAGAGTGTCGTATGATAAGGAGACATTGTGCGAAGAATTGAACTGCAAAACAAACAGTAAAAAGGTTAATGGTAAGGCGCACCTCTAAAATGGGAGCAAAAACCCACACAGCTACACATACACACATCACGAAGTTCATTTTTGGCTTCAATGAAGGGAGCCTCGGGCAGCATTTTCAGCTGCCCTATTACTCTTAAACTGACCCTGTCACTAAGGGTCCAAACTCAACTAAGTCCACCGTGAAAAAGATGATGCTTAACTTTCCAGTACCCTGTGTATTTAAATTCCACCATATTGCTGAACCCTGGCTAATGCAAGTATCCACACCACCGGGTGAGTTGGTTACCTGCTCCCCAACCGCTTGCCACGGCTCCTCCTGCCAGAACATATGTCCTGTAGCGATGTACTGTAGACCCCTAATGTCTCCTCTGTACTCAACCGTAGAGACTCCATGATCTGCTCCTAACCAGGGCCTGGGTTTGACAGCCCTGAACCCTGGAAGCGCTCAGAGCTAAGCACTTTCGGGTTCACCTACTGCAGAGGAGTTTGGGGATTACTGACAGCAACAGCAGTAAAAGCTTCTTATATGCACCTTTTCTGCTCTGGTTGTGACTTACACAGGGCTGAGAACTCTATCCTCCCCCATGTGGCACAGGGTGGATCTTTTTGCATTTTAGGAGTCAACAGATGGCGAGCTTAGTTATAAATCAGGGGTACCATTTGGTATAAAACAAGAGGATTTCCATATTCATAGTTAGTATCTGTGGGTTGTGTTGATAGCACCCATCATGTGAAGAATGCACAGGTCTGATGTTGATTATTTTTGTATAGTACAGGGATAGGCAGCCTCGGCACTCCAGCTGTTGTGGAACCAGGGGCGTCCTGAGGCCGGGTGTCTCCCGGAGCGGTTACTGGGTGACACCCCGCTGTGACGTCATCGCGCATGCACGGCGATCTTATTGATACCTGCCGGCGGCCATCTTGGTGATGGACCCCGGCAGAGAGAGGAGGGGACAGTCACCCGGCGGGATAAGGTGTGCCGCCGGGTGCCCTCCTCTCTCCCGAAACTGTCGGGCGCTTGGTCAATGACCTAGTGCCCGAATTTTCAGAGGGGGGTGACCCTCCGTTGGTGTCACCCAGGTGCAGGCCGCACCCCCCGCATTCCCCTTGTGGCGCCACTGTGTGGAACTACAAGTCCCATGGGGAGATGCAAGACGCTGACAGCCATGGCCATGACTCCCTGGTCGCACAAACATGATGGATTTGTAGTTCACCACAGCTGGACTGCCGAGGTTGCCTGCCCCTGGAACAGTATATCCCTTGAAGTGGTCCTTTCCACAAGTGGATCAAGTCGCCCTGTCTGGGAAGAAGTTGTGTTCTCACCAGCTGCTTGTTACTGTGCTCCAGATCCTCACAGGCATTGAGCTGGTAGCACAGGCGTGCATAGGCATTTTGGCTGTCGGGCATGGACACCACAATCCTCTTCTCCTCCGGGAAGTGCTGATAATGGAAATGCAGAGCTGTTTGGGGGACAGGAAATGAGAAGAGTAAACAGCGTGATCATCATGCCCTATAGATCTGACCTGGGGACATTTTATATGATAACATTTAATATGCGCTGCTTCTCCGCTGAGCTTGCTGGGTGCTACACTGTGCATGGCGGGTTGTACAATCAGTGCAGGGTTATTCCAGCAGCTGTTTTATACTTTGCACAGAGTTGTCCCTCTTGTGGCAGCCAGCAACATTTTAAAAAGCAATGATAGCTAGGACAGCACAGCACAGTGAGACATAAGGATAGCTAGGACGGCACAGCACAGTGAGATGTAAGGATAGCTAGGACAGCACAGCACAGTGAGACATAAGGATAGCTAGGACAGCACAGCACAGTGAGATGTAAGGATAGCTAGGACAGCACAGCACAGTGAGATGTACGGATAGCTAGGACAGCACAGCAAAGTGAGACGTAAGGATAGCTAGGACGGCACAGCACAGCACAGTGAGACATAAGGATATATAGGACAGCACAGCACAGTGAGACGTAAGGATAGCTAGGACGGCACAGCACAGCACAGTGAGACATAAGGATAGCTAGGATGGCACAGCGAAGAGAGACGTAATGATAGCTAGGACAGCACAGCACAGTGAGATGTAAGGATAGCTAGGACGGCACAGCACAGTGAGATGTAAGGATAGCTAGGACAGCACAGCACAGTGAGATGTAAGGATAGCTAGGACGGCACAGCACAGTCACATGTAAGGATAGCTAAGACAGCACAGCACAGTGAGATGTAAGGATAGCTAGGACAGCACAGCACAGTGAGATGTAAGGATAGCTAGGACAGCACGGCACAATGAGATGTAAGGATAGCTAGGGCAGCACGGCACAGTGAGATGTAAGGATAGCTAGGACAGCACAGTGAAGAATTGTGCCAAAGAGCACAGACAGGTCACACAGTAAATATGTTACAGCAATGTGAATGAAGGCAAGCATGTGACCCTCACCTTCGTTGTAGTCCGGGATAGATACTTCTTTTGTTATATTAATGCCATAATGTGGGATGGTTAACAGGGACACAGATATTCTCTGCCTGGGTTCAACGAACCAACAATAGTACTGTAACCGCCACTACAAGTAGAAAACAGAGTGTTTGGGTTAATAATGGATGTGGACTTATCAGGAGATCATATAAACACAAATTCTGGTCAAAAACCTCAAATCAATATCACTGGATCACGGCCTACAATATTTTCTTTAAGTGGCATTTGTGCTGTTTTATACTTGTTATCAGGGAAATGTGAAATACAGCCGATGAATGTTTTGTAATGACTCCTTGTAGCCACCAGATGGAGCTTTGTTCCAGCTCTATGGAGGCTCCCCCCTCACAGACTATTTGCTACTAAGAGACAGCTGAATGATTCAGTGGACGTGCACACACCACTCCCCCCCCCCCCCCTCCCCCCCACGCGGCGCGCCCACGCCGCACCCCCCCCCCCCCCCTTTCCCCCAGCAGAGACAGGTCTCAGAGACAGAAAGAATGCTTGTGTTGACATCATTGACCTTATATGGTGAGTGTCATTGACCTAATATAGCCATGTATCCATATAAGGTCATATGACATCACTACATCCCACCCCTTTTCAAATATGCAGGTGCGGGCAGGGTATTACCCAGCTGCAGCTGATTGGGAGGCAGCGGAAGGAGCTTCCTTTCATGTTTGGAGGATCTCAGGTTCAGGCTGATTTCGATCTGCACCTGAGTTGTCACCAGACATGAAGGAGAATCTCCCCAATAGAGAGACAGATAATACAAAACACTGGCAGAGGCTCTAACACTTCTCCAGTGTACCCAAAACATAAAAAAAGAGCTGCCCCAATCACTTGTATGTTGAGCGCAAGTGTGCGCCTCCCCTCCACTGCTGTCTATCCAAGGCTCTGCTGTGCCCCGTGCGGGCCAGGACCGGCACGGTGGCTCTTTGAACTCATATCAGAGCAAACATCCTCCTGCTGATCTCCCCTCCGATCTCTGAATGTGGAAGTGATGTGTATTACATTACTATCATTTATCTGGCTTCTGTAGCCGGAGAGAAGCTGGTGAAGCAGATCTGTACTTCATCAACTTCTTTGGGGGGTCCCTAGGTGATATTAGATGTCTAATAGACCCCTGATGTTTCCGTAAAGAGGACCTGTCACTGTATGAAACTATCATACGTCGGCTCAATAGATTGGGAAGTGAGTGAACACATACCGTTGCTCGCTCACTTCTCAATCATGTCCCTGCAGAGAGCTGTGACTATCAGTCACGGCTCCCCGCAGGGACTCTCCCCCTCCCCGCTCCGATCCTCCAGCGCTGACTAGCGGAATGGACGGGGGAGGGGCGGGCACAGCTGGCTCTGCCTCTAGATAGGCAGAGCCAGCTGTCACTCATGCAGCTGGGTGGATCTCGACAGTAATGTCCGGATCTGTCCCGACTGCGGTGGTCTCAGTATACCGCGTGCTGTAGCTCGCTATATACTGAGCTTTGGGTCACAGGAGGAGGTTAGTATATGTCCTCCCGTGACGCTTAAGAGAACTATGGGTGAAAACACTTACCCCATAGTTCTCTTTTAAGATTTGAAAATGAAAGAGAGAAGCTGATTGGTTGCCATGCACATCTGCTCCAGCTTCTGTCTGCTCCAGTTCTGATAAATTCCCTTCCATGTGTCCCCCCAAAAATTATATAAAAGTAATTTCAGTACAGCGTTGCATGACGGAATGAATGTCAAAGTACCGCAGAGCGGAATACTGAAAAATGGCCGAGACAGGAAGGGGGTTTAACACCCCGGTCAGCAAGTGGTTAAATATCCCAGCATGCCCTGCTGTTCTGCAGCAGATGGAAGCTGCACGTGCTTTTTGTATGACGCAGATGTAGATTGTTACTCACCAAATCCCCGACCGTGGAAGATTTCCTTTTTAAAATGCTAATTGAATGAAACTTGTTGTTGCTGAGTTCAAGAAGCCGTATGTCAAATCCGCGGAACTTGGGGAGCCCTGCAAACAAAACACGGGGAATGCAGCGGCTTATTTTTTTAATGGAATTTTACAGAAAAGAAAAACTTACAAAAGAAAATATGCAAAATGTTTTTTCTTAACTCAATACAATTTAGTTTAATAAAGCATTAGAGCTCGTTAGACAATTACCATGTCATTGTTTTTTTCCATAACATACCGATTTCACCTTTTTTATTTTTTCTCTATTTTAGTCCCGCTTATCTCCTGCAGCCTCTTTCAGTCACTTCCTGTCTACATGCACTCACTCCAGGGTCAGCTGCACATCATTGCTCTGGACCGGCTTCCTCATAGTGACAACAGTGGGCCATACTGTGCAATATGTGTCGGCATGGACACTTGCAGTCTCCAGTAGGAATGCATATGATAGTGTGACAACACAAGAGAACTGGGAGGCAGTTGTCACCCCATAACAAGAAGAACCTGAACAAAGTCCTTCATGACAGGATCACCAAGAACCATTTTAATGAATGCTGCAGATTGAAAATGACTTTAGAAATGGCATTAAAGGACTTGTAAAATCCCAGCACATGCTCTCCTGTTATAACATCAAACATAAAAACCTTTTATGTAGTGAGCGCTGCCTTCCGTCTGCCTAAAGCTTTCAAGAACTTGCTGGATACCCAGTGTGCTTTGCATCTCTCTCCCTGCTGCTTGACATGATGCAATCTCTATTTGTTAAGACTACATATCCCATCATGCATTGCTTCCAGCAAGCAATGATAATGTTACATTGACCAGATGTTGTTGTGTTGTAATTCAGAAGGCAGGCTCTGTGAGAGTGGTGACGAGAGAGAGAGAGAGAGAGAGAGAGAGAGAGAGAGAGAGGAGAGAGAGAGAGGAGAGAGAGAGAAGAGTGGAGAGAGAGAGAAGAGTGGAGAGAGAGAGAGAGAAGAGGGGAGAGAGAGAGAGAGAAGAGGGGAGAGAGAGAAAGAGTGGAGAGAGAGAGGAGAGAGAGAGAGAGAGTGGAGAGAGAGAGAAGAGTGGAGAGAGAGAGAAGAGTGGAGAGAGAGAGAGAAGAGGGGAGAGAGAGAGAGAAGAGGGGAGAGAGAGAGAGAGAGAAGAGGGGAGAGAGAGAAAGAGTGGAGAGAGAGAGGAGAGAGAGAGAGAGAGTGGAGAGAGAGAGAAGAGTGGAGAGAGAGAGAGAAGAGTGGAGAGAGAGAGAGAAGAGGGGAGAGAGAGAGAGAGAGAGAAAGAGTGGAGAGAGAGAGAAAGAGTGGAGAGAGAGAGAAGAGTGGAGAGAGAGAGAGAAGAGAGGAGAGAGAGAGAGAAGAGAGGAGAGAGAGAGAGAAGAGAGGAGAGAGAGAGAGAAGAGAGGAGAGAGAGAGAGAAGAGAGGAGAGAGAGAGAGAAGAGAGGAGAGAGAGAGAGAAGAGAGGAGAGAGAGAGAGAAGAGAGGAGAGAGAGAGAGAAGAGAGGAGAGAGAGAGAGAAGAGAGGAGAGAGAGAGAGAAGAGAGGAGAGAGAGAGAGAAGAGAGGAGAGAGAGAGAGAAGAGAGGAGAGAGAGAGAGAAGAGAGGAGAGAGAGAGAGAAGAGAGGAGAGAGAGAGAGAAGAGAGGAGAGAGAGAGAGAAGAGAGGAGAGAGAGAGAGAAGAGAGGAGAGAGAGAGAGAAGAGAGGAGAGAGAGAGAGAAGAGAGGAGAGAGAGAGAGAAGAGAGGAGAGAGAGAGAGAAGAGAGGAGAGAGAGAGAGAAGAGAGGAGAGAGAGAGAGAAGAGAGGAGAGAGAGAGAGAAGAGAGGAGAGAGAGAGAGAAGAGAGGAGAGAGAGAGAGAAGAGAGGAGAGAGAGAGAGAAGAGAGGAGAGAGAGAGAGAAGAGAGGAGAGAGAGAGAGAAGAGAGGAGAGAGAGAGAGAAGAGAGGAGAGAGAGAGAGAAGAGAGGAGAGAGAGAGAGAAGAGAGGAGAGAGAGAGAGAAGAGAGGAGAGAGAGAGAGAAGAGAGGAGAGAGAGAGAGAAGAGAGGAGAGAGAGAGAGAAGA